TGTATCTGTGAATTCATAGTGATCAAATATCTTTTTCGAAAACATTGAGAATTCATTTGTCTTCAATAATATTTTATTATCTTCAATATGTGTGTTAAGTGCTGTTTTTTGAAACATAATATTTATTTGTGTAATTTATAGACAATAAAATAATGAAATATCTTAGTATTATAAACCATTTCATTGCACTAATATACTATTGTTGATAGGTTAACGAAATAGAGTTCATTTAGTATTAAAATATAGTGAACAAAGTATAAATGAATGAGTAAATCTTGTAAAAAGCTACCAGAGTACTCGGAAGGTACGTGGGTAGTACTCATAGAAAACTCAGTTTTATGAGACGAGTACTCAGCAGTCGTACTCAACCAGTCAAAATCTAGCTCGATTACTACTGATGAGTACTCGTGACATTTTCTAGCGGGAGTACTTTTTGAGTACTACCCTATGAGTACCTTCACTAGGGAAGGACAAGAGAAAAAATTAAGTCCTGTGCACGTCTCTGGTAGGAACCTTTTTGTGTATATTTTTTAATTTTAAAAATTTTGTGGTAAAACACTGCCTATTAGATATTGTTTCTTTAAATAGTACCAAATATAAGTTATTGCATTCATGCTACAATAAATCTTGTTCATACTTTTTTATTGTCGCGAAAATTCAGATGTTTTTCTATTTTATTGTATTTATAACTTCCCGTGTCGCGATTTTACCGCTCCGGTTACCGGCTCCCATCAACCACGGTAATTTTAGAAAAGCGGTAGATTTGTATGAAATGGGAGCCAATAACCGGAGCGGTAATACCGCGGTTAACCGCTAGTTTCTCCGGCACCCTTTTTTTACCGTCACCCTTTTTTTACCGTCACCATATAGGAAAAAATGATGCCTAAAATAGCCCGATCAATGACTTTTAGCAACAATTTTTTATAAACGCTCAGCGAACCGGTTAATCGAAAAATACCGGCGGTAAACCGCGGTGTTTCGCAAAACCCCCGGTTTACCGCGGTAAATTTGTGTTGATGGGAGCCGGTAACCGGAGCGGTAAAATCGCGGTAAACCGTCAATTTTACTCTGGTTTTTCCAACATGGGTTAGTAATAATTTAAAGTGTATTTGTTGTATTTGAAAATGATGTCAAATAAATTAAGCCTACTTTGATCGAGAACAGCTAGAGCTTGAAGTCCGGACTTCGGACTTATAATTAGTTTTCAGCTACTAGAAAAATCGGAATACATCAGTAACGCTAGCCAGGACATGGCTTTAACGTATTGTCCTGCCGCTCGCCAGAACGAAGATTACCAACAGTGCAAACACGCACAGGATAAGGCTTCGATTTTCGTCCTGTTCTGCCGCCCCGCCAGGACCAAGGTAGTCAACAAGACAGAGAAGGGCATGAGAAAAAATTATGTCCATGTTATAATTCGTTTTGATCTTATGAATCATACGAGATAATGCAGCGAGTTGGAAAGACCACAGAACGAAGAAAAAGGTAACTCTTCACGGGACTCGAACCACGTACCTTCTGCTATCCGCCAGATGTCCTCAACCAGTTAGATTAGAAGAGACACTTTATCTTCGTCTTATGATCGTATAAGGATCAGATCATAACAGTCCTGTGCACGTCTCTGATCCGATTCAACAAAAAGAACAAGTCATCTATAGACTTCTCATTGCTCCGTCAATGATAATAAGAGTATAAATACTATTGTTTTGCTTACATCACATATTCATATCATTTGAAAAATAACATCGTGCTATTATACCTTACTCTTGATAAAAAGATTGAATTGATCAGCGACTACGGTGATGGAGCTGGGTTATCACAACGCAAGCTATGTGAGAGATACAAGGTATCGAGGGTGTGGGTGCACTTTTATGAAATCACGTCTTACACCCACACCCCACACCCCACACCCAACCTCCTTCGCTCATTGATGCATTTGAAATGATTCGAAGGCTCCATCTACTTGCGTCTACTTACCAACCGGAACTTCATCAATTCGTCATTAATCTGAAATCAAAACATACTGATGCCTACATCGAATCAAAAACTAACCGTCAAAGTTCAATTACAGATTTCTTTCGCGACCCTCAAGACTGTAAATATGATGATAGAAAATAAAGTTAAATAAAAAACTAATCAAATATATTATACTAAAATATTGGACACTATTCAAGATATAAATACCGGTTGTATATATAAGTGTCGGTGCTGTCTGTTATGTTGCTTGTGAAAACATTAGTAATCAGTATATATTAAAAATAACTCTATAACGCGGACACCTCCGTAAGATGGATGATTTTAAAAAGTCCTGTGGGCGCACATCCAAGGGAGGTTTTACTGTATTTAGATAAAAATCAGTCTTAATAACAAACAGGTAAACGTCATTATTCGACTAGCTCTATAGTGAAACCAATTCTAGGCTTTTTCCCCGCCGAAAAAAGAACGACACAAAAAAATGACGTTTTTTTTTTCTGCTTATAACAAGTCATGACAACGGCAATGTTTGATTTTCGATACAGCTAATATATTTCGTCATCATCGTAAACCTTTTTTTTCCAAGTAAAAATATGCCTGCATCTTGGTTTCCAATTTGTTGTAAATCACGACAATCAGTTCTATATAAAGCTATGTACGCTCGAAGAACATTATTCCAACAGTTGATATACCAGTTTAAATCTTATCGAATAGATCAAACAGATTTCGACAAGTTATTTCGCATACGATTGATATTTGCTATAATATATATTAATAATGTGCTTCAATCCCAAGGAAGACGATGGTTAGAATTGATTAATGTAATTTATTGGTTGTTACTGTTGTTTTTTTAATTTTAGCAAAAGCAGAAGAACTATTGATCAATAGTAGCACTCAGGTTTGTAACTTAGATTTTTATTTCATTGCAAAATACTAATAAATTTTATGTTTTTAGACTGATACTACATCTACTGTCACCTATTCAGTCAACAGCAACTCAGATACAAATAGTTCTTCAACAAGCTGAGCAAATCACTGTTCTAAATACTTGGCAATGCATTGCATTTTTACATTAAACCATCGCATGACTGAATTATTGAATCATGGCCAAGTCGCTTATCATTGAGAATTAGTCAAATCTTACTCTGTCAATTCTGTCAATAGTTGAATATAATGCTTTTTGTTTTTTGTTTTATGTTTTATATTCATTGGGCTGATTGATAAGATTCTTCTTTGTCATAATTTTCTGTCTGTTTTCTTCATTGAAAATAAATACTTGAAGATGAAATTTTTAAGTGATCTTATAGATAGATTCGTAAAAAAGCGGAAATTTTGCAAAAAGAATAAAGCTGATAGATCAATATTTTTGAAAGGATTAAAACAATTGATGAAGTGGAGTCTATAATACAAATTGTTCGAAGAAAGTAGTCAAATACATAAATATTTGTTTATGTCTTTCGATAGGACATCTATAAAAAAAAACTTTTTGCAATGAAGAGTATTTGACTTTTGATAGGACCATTTTGAGGAAGAAATTTCTTTCTGTTGCATTGATTTAAATATGATGTTCAAAATATATAGCTATGAAATAAATCGATACGATACAGATTAATATAAATATAATGCTCGTTTCTCTAAACAAATCTAAGCCCGTCAAAAATTACAAACAATCACCTAGTTCAAAGTCCATTTGTTTTTATCTGTTCCTTCTTTCCTATTTGCTTTCGCTATCGGAGGGTGTGCTTCTTTAATCTAATCATTTCGGTAGACGAAATACTCAACATAGTCCCATTAACCACACTCGACGCAGTAGGATAATGCAATGACATCTATACTTGGCCTATCTTAATTACTTTGTTAGTATCAAACTTGCGATAAGCGTTGGCGTTGAAAGTCATACCTATGATATTTCGATATTTTAAAGTATTAATGACATCATTCGACCTTAGTCATTAATAGACATGAAATCATATCTGTTAACCTACAAATCTCCAATGAAAACATTTCGAAATCATATACTATAGATAATTCACTGATTGTTTTCAAAAAGAAAGTACAACCAACCGTCAATAATCAAATTTGTTTATCGACATATACAGGTGGATAAATTCCAACTTAATAATATGCTAAATTTAAATGATCCTTCCACGCGTACTAGCCCATCGTGTTATTTGTGTCTGACGAAAGTGAAAATCATACATCGTATTCTTTCGACCATAAATTGATTCGTTTATTTTCAGAAGGCTATTCGAGGCAAAATCATGATATCCGAATTAATAAATCCTGCTTTTGGTTTCTTGGAATTTTCGTAAATCATGTCTATTGAGACTATATATAAGCGTAGATATTTTAGGTGTACATCTGCATTATAAACTTCTGATTTCAAACTAGATATTAATTACAAAATGTTCGATCCATCCTGCGATGGTAAGTAGATTTAAGTTGAATTGAAATCAATTCAATTCTGTTTTTAATTTAGAATTATTAAATGATTTATGTAGTAGTGGTAATACTCAGGTAAAGAAATATATAATCTGAATTTATTTTTATTTATCTAAAGAAAATATTTTTCTGTTTGTTTTCCAATAGAACAATGATACTACAACGGGTATAGAATTCGTACAAAATAATAGTCCAACAACGAATTGATATTACATGTACAATGGATACTAGCAAAATGATATATTTAATCAAAAGACCAACACATTGGGTGACACGGGAGCAATCAAAAAGGCACTACTACTGGTGTATTTAGGTCAAATTTTTTCTGTCTAATAGAGTCATGAAAATATTTTTATAAATAAATGTCTTTCTTTCTTCTATAATCTATTTATTTTAAGAATAAAAAAAGTGCAATAAGATAAAAGATGATAATCTAAATTATTGCGTGTAGTGAATATTGAAAAGCGAAAAAAGAAATATAATCACTGGAGCAGAAAAACAAACAAAAGGAGACGAAGAAGCAAAACTACTGCTTTTTATATTAGACTAAAGATTGCAGATATGAAGTCAGTTCAGATATCTATTTAGAAGACACGATTTGAAAGCCAGTCAATATCAAATGAAGCTATTTGTTCGTTGTTTGTAAGAAGATACATGGATGTTTCGCAAAGATTGTTCAATGCAAATATTAAATCTAAATAAATAATTAAAATGTTGGTTTTTCTCATAGAAAATTTCGTATCTGTAAAATTCCGATTAACTCTACTCTGTTCACTTAAGAATCTCATCATTTCTTTTCATTCTCCAGTTTTGAAATACTAGCATAATTAATTTGTTTTTTTACCATCAAGTGTCCATGGCGTAATGTCATTGGTTTGTGCTCCTCTAATATCATTTAATTTACTGATAATTTCTTCCGAATTGTGTATTTGTAATAAGCGAAGCAACTGAATAGTGCTATAAAAGAAAGTATTGAAAAGAAAATCAAATGTTACTTTCTTTCCCTCTTACTCTTCTCGTGTAATTAATCCGTTGTGATTCGAATCGAATAAATCGAACCATCTTTCAATAGTGTACTTAGAATAATATCCACTAGTAATAATCGGTAGAAAGCTATCACGAAATTCAATCCAATTTATGAATGAATCTAAATCAATCAATTTTCATAGAATATTAAAAAAAATATTTGTTTTTTCAGACCTCTATTTTTTAGAAACAATTCAATAAATAATTGTAAATCATCAGTTGACATATTGATATTATTATTGATAAATTCAGTCTTTAATTCTGTTGATAAATTTTCTCTGTTACTATTCAACAGTTTATTATCAGAGTCAGCACCTACAGTTTTGAATATTATGGCAAGTACTGAAACGAAGAAAGAAAAAGAATAGAAAATAACAAACCGAGAAAGTTAGTTTTTTACATGATATTTCTTTGGTGAATTTATCATTAGTTTTATTTGGAAAATTTATAATTGGTACTTCGAACGATATTGTTGGATTTTGATTAAACCATTGTTTATGCTCAATTTCTTCTGGTAGAACATTTTCATTAATATTCTTTGTTTTTTTAATCGCTTCAATCAATTCTATCAAAAAATAAATAATTAATAATAAAAATAAAACATTACTTCTTTTATAAGATAAATATCGTTGAAAAACTATCACATGTTGGTACTATTTAAATTGGGCCTCAACTGATGATTCCTCATATTTTTCTTTTCCCTACCATCAACACTTAATTTCCCATCATGATCAGTATCGTATTCATCCATGATGTTCTGTGTAAGACCAATCGTATGGTTAACTTGCAGAATTTGAAGTATTTCTAGAAAGAAATTTTTTTTTGGAACTGTAATTAAACCGAAAGGAAAAAAACACATGATATGTTTTACCGGTTATTTCTTGTACTGATAAACGACCGTCTTTACTAGTATCGAATAAATCAAACAAATTTCGAATATGTCGTTCTGTATAACGACCAGTTATAATAGGAAAAAGAATATCACGAAATGCAATCCAATCAAGTGAATCACGACGATCTTATTGAAAAAGAAAATAGATTATTGTGATTTTGATTTTTATCTTACTCGCTTGAGCAGCGGATTCTACAATATATTTTCTAATTATACTGTCGAATAATGACTGTATAAAGTAATCACGAAATTCCAGACGATCAAGTAATTTAGCTGATAAATCATTATTGATTTCTACTAAATGTTCATCATTAGCTAGTTCATGAAATACATAACGAAGATCTATAATAAAATAATCGATTTATAGCTATTTTAACATCTCAACTCATTCAATGGTGGCAATCTATATCTGGTATTAGACAAGTTCTATGAATTATACGAACCTTCCATGATTGCTGCCAAACTTGGATCGTCTTCATCATCGGATATTGTTTCAACGTTTCGAGAAGTTGGTTTATCAACTTTAAAAAAAAACACACTTTTATATAAAATTACAATCATAATTACCTTCTACGCCAGTTGAGGATACATAAATTGGCAAGGGCTCAGGCGTGTCCGGTAGTGGCAAAGGATTATTTTCATTTGCATTATTGTCAACAGTATCACTAGTAGTTATTGTTGTTGCAATACGGGAAACTAAACTATTTTCCGATACTGGATCTATGAGAGAAGAACTTATTTCTTCTTCTCGTTGTATTTGTTCGAGTGTTTCATCTTGTTTTAATTCTGAACTGTTATCATCATCAAGCACTATAACTATAAATGGTAATGAAGAACTTTGTTTTCTTTCTTCTTGCTGAATACTGGCTGATAATAATTCTGAGCCGTTAAGTGTAGTATCAATGAAAAATTCATAGTCTTTTTTCGATGACAGTTCGTTAGAAAGTATCGACGGATCAGATTCATTGTCGCCGATTTCTGTTTCATGAATTACGTATAATGTTGATTCTTCACGTTCAAAATTATCGTCTGTTTCACCCAATGACGCATTCGATTGACTTTTTACATTGTATACGATTTCTAAATGAAAGAAATTGGATTAGTTTAGATTATACTAAGTAACTTACTTTCTGATTTTATTTCTTGATAATCATCGTCAGAAACTGGAGCAGTCTCTGCTTGTATATCAATAGTTGTTGTCATAGTTGACGAAGAATGCAATGTTTCCATATCAGTTGATATTGCTGCAGTTTCTGAAGAAGTAGTGATTGGTAGTGGTTGATGTAGATCAGAAGCTGCTTGTTCGTAGTCAATAGTCATTGGTATAGAAGAGCAAAGTGGTGGCCTTGGAGTATCTAATGGTATTGTTGACGCTTCTGAAGATGTTGACAATGATAGTTCGTGATCTTCAGAAGTTGATTCTTGATATTCTGTAGTTGTTGATGTATTAAGTGAAGATAATATTTGATTATCTGATGGTATCAATGGAATTTCTGTAGTAAGGGAAAGAGATGATGGCTCATAAAGAGTAGACTCCGGTTGTGTATATTCGGTGGCTATTAGAATACTAGATGAAGCAGGTGATTTTTGAATGTCGCACGATGGTTCTGAAGAAACTCTTGATAATATGAAATGTTCTTCGGGAGTTATTAAAGGCAATTGTTGCGTGTCTGTAGCTATTATAGTGACTGGCGATGGTAATCTTTGAAGAGCACTTTCAGAAGTTATTGGATCGCCCTGAACTGTTGGAACTGCCGGTAAAGTTTGAAATTCATGTGTAAATGCTGAAGGTATTTGATGAGCTTCGAATAAGACTTGATTCGTATTGGTCGGCGATATGTCTCTACTTATCGATAATGAATCAAGTTCACTGGATGTAGCGGATGATTGTTGGCATGAAGAAAGTGACGATTGGTCATCTCGTACTACGGGAGACGATGACGTAGAAGATTCTTTCACTTCGGAACTTTTTGAAAAGGTCCATAAAGAAGACTGCTGAGATTCAAATGGCGAAATCAATTGATCTTCTGTAAGAATAGCTCTTGGAATTGAATTAAAAGACTTTACGTCACATTGTGGGCTGATATTGAGGCGTATTCTATCTCGATCTTGCTCTTGGTTGTGTTCACTAATTAATTGGATTTTAGCGTTTGTTGTTAAAATCTTCTTTTTTGAAAGACAAAAATTTGTTGAAATTCAAATGAAAAAAATTCTTTTTATACCTCTTCTTGTTGATCATTAAATGTACCTTCATTGATACTAGTTGTTCTATCTATATAAACCAGTATGTTTTCAATTAGAAAAAGAAAAGATCAACAAATCTATATCAATCTAATTTTCTTTCTTTTCACTATGTCCTTCAAATTAAACAAATACAGAAATCTCCCATACACCTATGTCAAACTAAGATTCAATCCATATAAATGCATTCTATACAAATGCACAGCAAGTATCAGGCGAACGGAAGAAAACTAGAACAGATGATGATTACAAAAATGTCATAAACTCAAAACTATTTGTTTGAACGATTGTAAGTCAATTACATTGAGTGCTTCTTTATTTATTCAGTCATACTTATCTTCTTACCTGTCAGTACATTAAGATTGCTTCGTAGTAATGTTGTTGGTCTTCTTAAATTAGTGATATTAGTCGACGATTGTTTCTGATATTGCTTTCGTCTATGTTCACTTTCTAAAACTCCACGGTAGAGTGCCAATTCAAATTTCAAATTTCGATCATATTCGGCTAAATGATTTAATTTTTCTTTGAATGAGTGTAATTCAATTGTACTACATTCAATATCACGATCTTTAGATTGTAACTGTTGTATGCGTTCTTCACGTAAGAAACTTAAATTGGCTTCCTAAAATTATTTCTTTTTTATTACAAAAAATAAACAAAACAAACATACCATCGTCAATACTCGTTCAGATAATGTAGAATTATCGTTTTTAAGTGTTGCTAATTCTTGTGCAACGGCATGATATTCATCTTGAAGCTGTTGATTTGATGTTGTTGTATCGTTCGTTGTTTGATTAGATGTAAGACTTCCTTCAACATTTTGTAATATTTGGCTATATTCATTTTCAATTTGAGTTATTTGAGCCGTGTTAAGCTGATTAAAATCTTCACGTATATTAACTATTGATTCATTTAAACTTGATAGAAGATATTCATTAGCTTCTGTTTCTGCTGCTATAATGGTTTCATGTTCTTCATTGAGAAATTCTTTTGTTTGACGCATTAATTGAACTTCTTCTTTTAATGTTTGGATTTCAAACTGAATTAAAAAACATTAAAGAAAATTTAGAAAAATCCGAAAGTTTACTTCAGTTTTTGATCGTTCAACGTATTTCTGTTCCAATTGTACTTGTAGATTATCAACTGTATCCATGGATTTTTGATGAACTTGTTTTTCTTTTTCGACATACTTTAAACAACTTTGTAGTTGTTGGTTTAATTTAATAAGTTCATTATGAGCGGAACATTCTATCTTCTGTAAAACATTCAAACGTTTAGTCTGCTCTTTTTCATTACTGGAAACAAAACTAATTCTTCGTTTAAATTCTTCAGTTTCATTGAAAAAGCGTCGTGCACGTGATTTAGATGCATAACGTTGAATATGACCATCGGTTAGTATTCGGCTATGCTCATGAAAATCTTGTGGTAAACGTTTCAATTGATTTTCTAATGATAAAATATAATTTGTACGTATTTGTTCAATACTTTCTTGTAATTGACGGTTACCATCGTCGATTGTTTTTAAATCACCTAAATAAGTTTGAAGATCTGCATTAAGATTGCGGAATTCTTCGGTTTGTAAATTATATGAAATACGAAATTTCTCAGCATCAGAAACCACATCATGAAACATTGCTTATCGACTTGTTTTCTTTTTCAGTAAAAACGAAAGAGATACTAAAAAATCTAAAATCAGACAAAGAAAAAACAATGAAGGCGATGGGCACTGACGTAAATAATTTGTCAAATAATAATTTTACTTTTTTTTCTAACTCAATCTATTGAAAGTTAAGACTACAAATAGTCTAGATTGCGATTGTGCTCTCTCTTTCTCTTCTTTTGCTCGTGTAAGTTTAAAGAGAAAAAAAAGAGAAAAGAAAAAAGAAAATGTCGTCATTGCTACCTTTTTTCTTCTTCTTTTGTTGTATGAACTGGAAAACAAGACAATGAACCTAAAGATAATTTTCTAACATATTGATCATTGATTATTTTCTTGCTGTCAAACATATCAATAGTTAATTGACACCAACAAAATGATTGATCTTGACTATTAGTTGTTAACAGTCTCGTGAGGAATAAACCTTTTGTCAACTTAATTATATTGGTTTCAAAAGCGAAGAGAAAAAGAAAATATTGACTATTATAAATCGCCTGTTGCATTATATTTCTATTTTATAAGCAAACTAATGAGATTTCAACAGTAGAGCTGTATAATTAATTTTTATCGCATCGAATGGCAGACAATAAAATCTAAGATCAGTTTTTAATATGCAAATCGAAATCCGATTGCAAGGATTAATATCATATGTGTCAGACAATCTTTTCTTTTTTCATATTTTTCCTTCAATCTAAAATCTACTTGCCTTTCTAAGGACATCATTTTTTTAACAAATTGTAAAACAAGAAACACAACAAGGCCGTATTTCGGTATTTTTTCTTGTCCATTTATTTAAGATACAATACACGGATTGAATCATATCATCTCACTAGTAAATTTTGCCAACAACTCTACGACATATAAAACATGTCCGTGTCGCGACACCTAGTCCATTATATATATATACAATAAGGCCTATTAGTAGGTAATAGATCCGTAAGAAATATGTATTTACTTATCGTTTTCGTGATCCCTTCTACCTATATTTACTGCTACATAGACACATACATACGAGTATTCGTGATGTTTAATGACTTAAAAAGTCAGACATACTGTAATTTTCACGCCAAGGTAAAAGATAAAATAATGTTATATGAAACTGAACGAAAATGACATCCGAGATGAAATCAACATTTTCTAGGAATAGAAGTAAATGTTCTGGAAAATCAACTTCTTAGCAATGAATAATAGAAGAGTTTCGAAAATATTTTAGTCCCTACGTGTTGTAATATTGAGTCAACGAAGAACAGATGATGTCGAAGGAAGAAGAGGCGAACGCATGATTTAAAAGAAAAACAAATATAATAAAAATAATGTTAATAAAAGCATATGCACCGATAAAAAGAAACACTTTAATTTACTATGAGTATGCCATTATTGATTATCTTGAACCACGGAACAATATGGCAATGTGTACTCATACTAAAACATTTTAAACAGATAAATTTTATGCACATAGTTCCGCCAGTGAAAGTTTCTTCATCTTTCAACAACTGGCTGTAGAAATCTGCTTTTTTCCTTCGTTATAAGATCAAAAGCAATAACCAAGCACACTAAAACAAATATTTGATGTACGTCAGTAGTAGACTATTTTTTACTCAAGGTTGAAAATTATAATTAAATCGTGCCATAAGCGACAATAGCGAAGTCTCTAGGCTTCTAGATTATGTATTTTGTGTGTTAATGATGACTAGCTTAAACGAGAAATAAAACAAGATAGACAGTTCGTTGGATTAATTAAAATCTATGTTATTTAGAGTCAGAGGTGTATAATTTGAATTGAAATTTTCAAGAAATAGACATTCAATCGATGACTTTGCATATAGAGTTTTGTATCTGAGTCAAATTTTCTATTTTGTTCTATTCGATTCATTTGGACATTTCCTAATATCTTGCTTTAATCAGCACTTTAGCGGCTTGCGATGAAGACGAAACGAGTTTTCTTTAGGCAGACTATTTAGAAAATAGGAATAATCATCTTTGTAACGAATTGGAATGTTCGTGCATAGTTTGAAATACTTCAAGGCACTAATTTATATCGATTAGTTGAAAGTGTCAATAGCTCAAAATCCATTTCTGCTGAAAAATCAGAAGAAAAATTCCTTTTTAGATACACTTTAGTGATGTAAAAATGAGATCCACTATAAGAATAATTGAATCAAAAATTACTCTATGGAAACAGTACCGATATTTATTATCAATCGAAATTTGAATTCAAACTATTCAGATATGGCATGAATTTCATTTGGTAGTTATACCTCATAATCACTGTGACGAGACAACGCCTACTCTCTGAATACAACGTTTATGGTGATGCATTAGTCCATTATGATTAATTTCATCCAATCAAGTGCCGCTGAAGAAAATATAAAATTAAGCTCAAGTAAAAAATCAAGAATGTGGGTGTAGCTCTTTTCATTCAGACAGACGCCCATAACCGTCCTACACCCACGCCCTTTTTCACACATGGTACATGCCGATGAGTTTGTTGAAATTGTCATTTTTTAAAGAGAATGTTTACAACAACAATGATTGTGCAAGAGTAACAAGAGAAGAATATTCTTTTTTGCTTTTGCAAACAATGGTATCCATTTTCCAACAATTTTTCTGTCACTTTACTTAAGTGACAAATGTTACTTGCTTAATGCTTCAATAGAATTTTGACCGTCGAATTGCGGCAAGAAATGAAAATAAAGCATTACGAGTCTCACATTAATTCAATATGATTTGCCCTCTACATGTCACATCAAAATCACTGTCGATCGAAAATCACAAAAAGAATTTTCACCCTTTTATTGGGCAGGTAAGAAGGAATATTTTTGTTTTCTATTCATGCTACTACATGGATAAGAATGAGAAGTTTTGCTTTTTTCGATCGTCTACAGAAGCCAATTTGTATTTTTCTGAACATGGTAATGGGGATCCAGTATTGTGTAATTTCAGATTATTACAATGTGTAGAAAAGTACAACATTGGTTCCGTTGATAATCCAAAGAGGCGTATATAAAAATCCTCGATAATCTTGTGTTTAGTTTCATTTCATCAAATTATGTTAGGCTAAAATCAGAAATTAGGGGCCGAAGAAGAGTCTTACTTCTTTTTTGTTAATAGACATTCATTCATATTAAGATACTTGCTATTTCGTTCCATGCAGGCGGATTTTATGTTCAATGACAGCATGTTTCGTATCCTTTGTTTTAATGGTCACTTCTCTCTCTCTCTCTCTCTCTCTCTCTCTATTAGTCCCTGTCGCTTATTTTAGGTAATAATGGGTGAACTTATTCATTCTGTAGCACGAAGTATTCGATTTGTCGATGATGCAGCTGTGGCCAAAGAAACAAAATTAGGGTCAATTGAAGAGATAGGAAAGGACGACGACCACGACGAAACGTATCTCGTTTCTATCGAGGAAGTAGTTGAACCTCTTGAATTACTTCTACCTGAGATCAAAAGCAAGACCGCTCTAGCAAAGCAGCATGCAAAAATGTACCATGATTCGCTCTCACTCGATGAGTCGAGTTCGCTTGCGCTCTACTCTATGGAATGGGAGCCTCATGCTGAATGCCTTTACGTCGTTCTCAACGCCACTTTGAGATCTGAAAATCGGGCCAATCTCACTCCCTGGTATCTCTATTTGAAATTAATTATTACTGCATTATCGCGATTGCCATCGGTTCATATGACCGTTTATCGTGGTATCCAACTTGATTTAAGCAAAAGTTATCCTAAGGGCACAACGTTTACCTGGTGGAGCTTTTCATCATGTACTGCTTCAGTTGATGTTCTCCAATCCTCCATGAGCACAATCGGCGCTCGTACGTTATTCGCTATTGAATGTCTATCGGGTAAAGACATTCAGCATCATTCACTTTATCCAAACGAACAGGAGATTCTGTTGAATGCAGGAATACGATTCCAAGTAACTGCACATTTTCAACCATCGAATGATCTTCACATCATTCAATTGAAACAGTTGGAACAACCAAGTTCGTGAATACACCCGTTGACAGTGGTTCCTCGAACTGCAACGAAACAAGCAGAATAGCAGAGGATGAAGATTGAGGACCCAAGAACATACAATATTCTCCAGTTTAGAGAGGAGTTTTGTAGGCAATGTACTTGTTATTCGTCAATTCAATTACGGGAAAAGACGTTAGATGAGGAACATGAAAATCGTAGTAAAAAAAATGAAATATCCAAAGTTCAACAAAGTAAGTTTGTCTTTCTGCAAAATCACATTGGAGGGAATTCAGGTTTTTGTCAATGATCTTCGGTCGAATACCATAGTAGAAGAGCTAGGCTTGAGCTCTATCAAACTTCAACCTAGCGCCATACAGTGTATCATGGAAGCGTTGAGTAAAAATATTGCAGTCAAAAAGCTCGACATGTCATCTTGCAAAATAGGAGACGACGGGGCTGTTTACGTTGCACAATATTTACTTATCAATGTGACATTAGCCGATCTTGATATCAGCTTTAATAAATTTGACGATATGGGTTTGCAAAAGATATTCTCTGCCCTATGTGAAAACACAAATCTCAAGATACTAAACATCCGATGGAACAAATTTAACGTTTCTGGTGTCAACAGTCTTGTTCAGATGCTTAAAGTGAACTATACATTAACAGTACTCGACCTTAGAGGCTGTGGTTACATGCAGTCTTATGGTTATACCACTCGTTCACCATGGAACGATATATTTCGAATTAAAGAGGCGTTTAATGAAAGAAAAGTGCCTGATAGCATCTGCTACGCTGGGAAATCTGTCAGGCCTCTACCTGAAGCATCGTCTCAAGCAACTTCGCAAAAATATACACGGGATCATTCTGCTTCGGATGATCAGCTTTGTGAAAGAAAAACAATACGTACTTCATTGTGTTCAAGATACACACGATCTAGATCACCGTCCTCAAGCAATGATCGATCACGATCGCGAACAGAAACAGACCGAAGATCTTCTCCACGATACAGTCGGTCAAGAACCCCACCACCTAAAACTCCAGAGCAAATTCCGACTTCTAGAGCATGCGTCATGCAATAAAGTAAGGCTTCCATTGCTATTTCTTGAGATGAGGTGTGAGGATGTAAGCTATGATAGGTGGAGTGTCGAAATGTGTTTGTATTCAATAATACAATAGAAACCAAGGGTGTGTGCGTGTGGTAGGAATAATATTTCTGCAACTATTTCTTGGATGACAGAATAAAAGTATGCATCACAATAATAACAATGCATTAGTGTTTTTTTTTGTCTTGTTAATTTTTCTTCTTTCCTTCGTTGCAGCTGCAATTTCAGAGGAAACTCATTCGAATCTTAACATAATCAACGTTAAGGACTATAAGTTTTCTTATCATTCGTCTTGTAAAGAAAAAAAAGATGAATCGTTCCGATTCTTGTGCCAAACACAAATTATCGATACAATAACAAGAACAACAAAATCAACATTCGTCGCTGTTACTCAAGAAGATACTCTGGGTAAATTAAAAAAAAACATTGGTTGTCAAGTCTCATATTAAAATGCATAATATTGAAAAGTTTTCAAATTTCAAGTTCAAATGATGAAATCCAACAACAAAAAAGATTGTTCTCTATTGAAATCAAGAAAAAACATTATAATTCTAGTGAGCTTGTCGAGATATTATCTCATACCCATAATCATGTAAGTCTTATCTCTGCCAATATAAAATAAAATGAAAACTCACTTCTAAGAATACTCGGTACACGTCATATAGCAATGTTTCTTCGTACAGATACAATCCTTTTTTTTCTTATTTACAATCAGTAGGTACTTACATTTTACCTTGAATTTGTTTAATGTTACTATGGCACAATGCTTCGAAATAGAATGTAATCTAAAAGAAAGAAAGACGAAAAACAGAGAGAAATCAGGCATAAAATGCTCCGTGATGAATAAATAAAGATAAAATCATTCCTGAAAGAACAGATTCGACTGGCATGAACAATAAAGTTGAAAATTATCATCAGCGAAATCTGATCGACATAGTTGTTTTCGATTGCTTGATTTTAGTGACGATGTGGGTAGAGATCAAATGGGTAAAAGCCTACTACTCTAATCCAAAACATGAAAGTCTAAAGCAGTATGCTTTCCGTCCTCGGCATAGATGGTATTATTTTCTTCTTTCATATTCACATCCTGATTTTTATAATCTCTTTACTATATGTTTATGCTATTTGTTCTAGATCTACCTTTTTAAAATGGCTTATAGCAATTCTAACGAAAAACATTCGGCCTCACGATTTACCGATTTGGGTGTATTACCAAAACGAATGCTGGCACCGATTGAAGGCTATGATAAATCACCATTAGTAACACTTGAAGAAGCTGTAAAACCTCTCGTCAAAATAGTACCAAAAGTCGAACGAAATGTATTTATAGTTAAACAGAATTGTCAAGAACCAGAAGATGGCTTAACGACTGATGAGTCAGCTTCCATTATGCTATATACCTATGAATCTATGCCACATGAAGATTCCTTATATGTTAAGTTGAATAATAGTTTACGATCTGAACAAAGAAAAAATTTAGTTCCATGGTTCCTCTATCTCAAACTTGTACTGACGGCGCTTGCTCGTCTTCCTCCAGAATGTTCTACTATTTTACGAGGAGTCAAAGAAGACTTGTCGGCTGAATATTCAAAAGGCAAGACTTTTATTTGGTGGGGATTTTCATCTTGTACTTCATCCATCGAAGTACTTGAAGATGAACAATTTTTTGGGCAAACTGGAAACAGAACCCTATTTCAAATACATAGTACCACAGCAAAAGACATAAAAAAACATTCGTTTGTGCCTAGGGAAGATGAGGTACTTTTATTACCTGCGAGACAATTTCAAGTCACATCTTGTCTTGATTCTGGAAATGGACTTCATATTATACAAATCAAAGAATTAAAACCACCATACGACCTTGTTGAAGCAGTTTCAGTGCCTTCTCCACCAGTCCAGTCCAGAAAAAGAGCACAAGGTAAATCTCCACCAATTGCTGAAGCTATGGGAGGACAATTGGCAGCAATGCAATTACAACCTCAAATAAAATAAAAATGTAAGCCATATTTCATGAATCAATTAGATATGTGTTACTTCGACGTTGATAGAGATAATGTATTAAAACTAATAGTGAAAAATAGAAATCAAACGCATACTTCACCATAAAAAGAAAAAGAAAAAAGTAGTAATTATCCATAAGTAATAGTAGATGGATGGTAAAACATTGAATGTTTATTTTAAGTTTATTTCAAAAGTATTGATTAGGAAGAGAAAGGCCCGCGCAAATGACGATTTAAAAAATATTTATAAGACAAAAATATTCTTCAAAATAAAAAGTTGACTGTTCATGTCATATGTAGATTGTCTGTTGTGTATTAATATGGAATTTAATTGTTTGATTTAAAATATTTAATTTTTTTCATATAATTAAAAATCTTTCTTCTCTTTTTCTTCGTTTGATTTGTTTTCATTATTGCGAGTATTCCAATATAAACTGAAATTCTCATGTCAACTGTCACAGATATTACTCATTGAATTAGCTAGAAATACTCGCGAAAGTGGTTCTCCTTTTCTAATAATACTACCCACTTCAGCGAGAGAGAAAGATATCCCTTGATTTTACGTTTTCTCTTCTAGTTAATATTCCTGGTAATGCCACATGGGCACAGAATGGTGTGACTATTGCTGGAGGTCACGGGAAGGGTGATGCTACTAATCAACTCAACGAGCCTTGTGGTCTCTTCGTTGATGACGATCAAACCGTGGTTATTGCTGACTGGGGGAATCATCGTATCATACAATGGAAGAAAGGTGACACGACGAAGGAACAAGTTATTGCTGGTGGGAAAGGTCAAGGAAATGGATTGAACCAATTGAATCAACCAACTGATGTATTGATAGACAAAGAGACGGATAGTCTCATTATTTGTGATCAAGGGAATCGACGAGTTTTACGGTGGTCTCGTCGCAGTGGTACAACACAAGGAGAAGTACTCATGGACAACATCGGTTGTTTTGGATTAGCAATGGATGAACAAAGATATCTCTATGTCTCTAACAACGAAAAACATGAAGTAAGACGATATCACTTGGGCGAGAAGAATGGCACTCTTGTGGCTGGTGGAAATGGCAAGGGTGTTGGACTCAATCAACTTAGCAGCCCGCATTATATCTCTGTCGATCGACAACATAGTGTCTACGTGTCAGAGCATCTCAATGCTCGTGTAACGAAATGGAATGAAGGTGCAAAAGAAGGCATTGTGGTAGCTGGAGTTCAAGGCCAAGGGAAAGCTTTGGCACAGTTGAACAATCCCAGCGGACTCTTTCTCACTGAATCAGGCACTTTCTATGTGACGGACTCGTGGAATAATCGTGTAGTGCGTTGGACTCCAGAAGCAAAACAAGGCACTGTAATTGTGGGTGGAAATGGGTCAGGAGCAGGAGCAAATCAGTTCGACCTCCTCCGTAGCTTGTCTTTCGATCGACATGGGAACCTCTATGTCGCCGATAAAGATAATCACCGTGTCCAACGATTTTCTATCGAATAGACATGAATTATCTTTTTTTTGCATACAATGGGACATATGATTTCAATCTGAATTCTACCAAAAAAAATTACCCGTCATTTCAAAAACAAATGAGGGGCTGGGGGATCTTCGAAACTATTCACTTCATTGAATTCAGATTTCTGAACTCTGAATTCATATATATGTAAGCAGGTATGTTTTTTTTTGGACAGGGGGCCTAGGGGGTCTTCCATGAATTCAGTTGAATTTTGAATTCTGAATTCATCGAAGACCCCCTAGACCCCCCGTCCAAAAAAAACATACATATATACGTATATATGAAGTCAGAATTCAGAATTCAACTGAATTCATGGAAGACCCCCTAGACCCCCTGTCCAAAAAAAAACATACCTGCTTACATATATATGAATTCAGAGTTCAGAAATCTGAAATCAATTGAATACTTCTTGTTTTGGGGTTAAATAGTGTTCGGGTGACGGATGCAGCTTTGGTTGGTACATGCGAAGCGTGGAAGGTGTAGAGATTATCGTGAAGCTTTGGTGAAGAAAGTTTGTTCATCGGTGTCTGGTTCGAATTGTTTACGGGTTTTCTAGGATCCCCTAAACCCCCGCCTTCCTCGGAAGTACCGGTGTTTTTTTTCTTTTTTGAATTCAGTTTGAAATAGAATACCCCATAGACTCTTTTTTTGTCGTTACTTTTTCTACTTTGAAATAAATGGAAAAAATAAAATTTTCTCTACCCCTCTCTCGCTTGAAAGAAATGAATAAAATAGAAGTTTGTTTTATTCAAAATGTTTATCTTAAAAGTCGACAAAAGATCACAATAAAATTTTCAAAAGAAACGAAAAGAATTTTGTTGTTGTAAAACGTGATGAAGAAAATGAACTACTTTAGAATGAGAAAGAAAGTGATTTATTTAATTGAAAATCTAATTTTTTAATTCTTTACTAGTAACATTTAGTCGCGCGCGCGACCAAAGACTACCTTGGTGGCGCCGTATCGAGCGTAAGTTTTTCACGTACAAACAAGTAGATCCACTGTGTAAATTTCATGTAAGTATGATGAAAATCTATAATGTACAGGCAAGTTCGTGTGCTACTGCCACCAAGATAGTATTGGCCAGTATGTAATGCCTATATGGAAGGCCACTTTACTCTCTGGGAGTGATGGCACAACGCTATTCAATCGTTGTATTTTGTCACGCTCTTTTTGCTAGACTAATTTTTCGAAGATTAAATTAAAACTGGGAAGAAACGGTTGGAGTAATATTGAATTTCTAATTCTTGAAGGATCAATTCCTATTTTTGGCTTTCGTTGTGCGTACGAAAAGGATTGACTATTCAGTAGATATAAAAACAGATATTGTCGCTATTTTGTTTTATTTTAATGCCAACGATGCTTTCAAAAGTAGTCTGCTGTTTCATATTAGCTGCATGAAGGCAATTGTAAAACAAATGCGTTTTTAATCCATCTAACGTTGAAAAATCTTTCTTTTAATTTAGTGTGTCCGTAGTTCAAAGCAAATCGCAAACATGCAATTGAATGTCTCAATATGACAGATGTTCATTGAATCATGCATGTGTCTGCTTTCCTATCTCGCAAGTGTTACTGGTGCTGAAATTTGTACAGATCGATTCGCAGTAACTTGTTCTGAGCTAGTTCCATGCAAAAAATCAACCCACCGTTGTAATCAATCTGATCATAAATGTGTTCATCATCCTGATTGTCGTCAAGAGTTACCTGTTTGTTATCCGATCACGAGTTTGAATCAAAACTTCTGTTCACCGACATCAAATAAGATAATAAGTAATGAACTATTGACACTCGAGTGGGATTCAAATCTTTCTTGAATTTATTTTCTTTTATTTCTGTAATGAATGGATTTTGTTGAGATTTCAACATTAACGAGCGACTAATTGAAGAGACAATAGGAAATACCGTGAGAGATACGCGAGCGAAAGCACGAACGTAATGATAGCACTATACAATGCATGTTGTCACTGTATACAAGCTCTCATTTGGAAGAGTTACTGCTATTGAAATAATTCACCTATTTATGTTTTGTTTTCAGCAAATATGTGCGGTAATTTTGGCCATCAAGACAAATAGAACACACCTAATAATGGTATTCAAGGTTTTCCTGTACAAGTACTCGACTATGCTAGTTGTTGTTCAAAATGCCAAGCAACTTCAGGGTGTATTGCTTTTGCGTATACAATATCAAACAAGAACTATTGGGCGAAAACGAGTGTTGGACCTGGTGCAGTACCAGATAATGATATACTATCTGGATACAATCGTAAGTGTGCCGCCTCTCAGTTAGATAGTGCCGTATCATTGGTTAGAGGAACTCAACAAACAAGACTATCTGTTAAAACGTGTTCGATGACTTAGTAAAATATTTTACGCATACCTCGATCAAAGATATTGATGCTACTAAAATCCATTATTTTACAGATTAGCGTTAGTGTGTTTACCAGGCGTGTATTTTTCAACGAGAGTCTGTTGTTATTGAGATCTTAATAATGAGCAAAGTCCCCATATTGATTTCAAAATTTTCACTCCTTGTTTTCGCTATTGGTAGATATCAATGAGACTAAGAGAAAGTCGGGATATTCTGAAAACATAAGCCAAAACAAGCTCTTATTTCTTGAGATATGGAGTATTCAAGTAAAATCGATTTTTGAGACAAGTCAACAACAGGCACTGAATTTTTCAACAACCTATATGTGAGAAGAAAGAAGCATTTACCTTGACTAAAAATGTAAAGACTATTATAATAGTGATCAGACGTAACTCTCGATTGATAGGAGATAGTCACAAGTGCTTTCAGGATTTTTTACTCTCACTGGAGTCTACTCATTGACATATGAGAGATGGCAAAGACCGAAATTGCGCTTAACACCTTTCAACTCACAGTTTCTTGTCATTCGGGCATACTCACTGCACTCTATAGCGAATAAGTTGATTAACACACCAAAAACAAAGTTGAACAAGTTGCTACACGTATTCGTCGTTTGATAAATTACCGAGAAGTTTAATCATGAGAAAATAGTAAAGTGAAAATAAGACACACTTGGAGAAAAACATAGTGAAATATTCATGCACAACGAATGCAGCCACAGTATGGAAACTTTCATTTGGAAAATTTACTACTATTACAACTATCGTTTTATTTATTTTCTCATAGCTAACAAATGTGGTGGTTTCGTGTGTGAGGACGGATTGACCTTACCTGGATATGACATGTCAGGTTTTCCAGGTGGGAGCCGAAATGACGATTGAATATCTGGATACATTGGAAAGTAATTGTTGGTGTTGTTGCAACTTCGAACGCCTATAAACGCCAGAAACTTAGAATCTGTAGTATGTTAACATATCGGTACTGATAGCGGTCAAAAAATCGAAAGATTTCGCTCATAAAATATATTAATATGAAAATAAATAGATTGAGTATATTACGATAATCGCATCCCAGTTCATCGACACATGAGAAAGAAACCAAGCCTTCGCAGGCAATGCTTTTTGTAGTTGTTTCGCAACACAGAGTGTAACTGCGAAAGATCATGCCTGTTGTTCGAAGAGGAGCATAAGACATTGATTGAATATCACAACTTGATGAGGTAGTAACACTAATTAGAAACATTTTTCTTACTCGTGAAACAACAAGAGAATTTCTAGCGAAGACTTACAGTGAGTATCTGAAATACGAAATTGCAATTTAGTACAAAAAATTCTTTTCTTGTTCCTCATGATGATTTTACAACTCAATGAGTAAAGCAACAAGAATAAATTTAAAATCTGAATACTTGATTGAAACATGGACTCGTAACTTTATCTTCCAGTGTTCTGCGATCAAATTTAAAATAAAGTGATAATATTATTTTGTTTAGCCACTTCTATAGCTTGAATTGTGAAATGACATTGCTGACCATCCAATAGTAGCAAAATAGGATGTGCGAATGAAATTGTTTCTGCCACAAAAGCATTTAAAAACCAAAAATATCATCATTTATCCAACCATTATGTGAACATCGAACAAGGAAGACCACCTTCCGTTCATTGATAACTAATATTTTTTGCAGCATAAACTGTTAGTGGGAACAAAAATTAATGTAGCAAATGATTTTCCTGTATCACCACTTTTTTCGTATTTAATTTTTGTGTCGAATGGAACAAGTACTGAGGGATGCACCAAAATAAATTAGACTGTTTGCATTTTTAATATTTATTCCTAGTTCAATTCTCTACAAATAATCTATCGACAGTTTTGTGGCGGAATTCGGAAGAACTACCAAAATGGAGCAAAATCTTAACGTATTTTGTCCAATATACTCTATGATAGAGTTAAGCTTTTTGAATGGTGTCACAAACACCATAGCACGGTTTCAGTAGTTTATCATATGCTCTATCTCCTCGTATAGAGTGCAAATTATTTAACGCTAAATATCCGAAGCAAAAATTAATCTTATCTTATGGCAATCAAGTGAAAAATAGCAACAATTTTTCTATGTGCTTTCGCAGTTGATCAAAATTATGTTCAATTTAATTATTCTGTTGTATACAAAGTCCTAAATTTCATCTATGAGAGAGCATGATTTACATTGCTTTAAATCACAAACTTACAACTTATCGTTTCCTTCTTGATTCAAAGCGTATACATCTTAGGTTATACGAAGGTTCTGTTCTATTCAAGTAAAATCTTTGCGCTGAACTTGAAAGCCAACTAATAAAAGCTGCCCAATTTCGTGACGGAAAATAGGATCACAACCACTGACAAAACTGGATGACACTTGAATTTCACTCGAATCGAATCGAATCGAAATGTAAAATATAAAATATCTCCTTTCAATTAGAAATTTTATTTTTGGTTTTCTTTGATGAATGAAAACTTTATGATACCGATCACGTACAAGCACAGACATATCTTATTTGTGTGCTAAAATTGACGTACGAAAACAGGAATAAATGGAGAAGAAAATAAATAGATTTTGACTGCTAGAATGTTTTTTGTTTGCATTTATTAACACATAAAGACAAATAAAAAGAAAGATAACTATGTGTATTTATTGTCTATGAAGTTAAAATAATAATGCTGAATAATACAAACGAACTCTGTCTGTCCTTTAACTTCGTGGTAAGCCATGTTTTTTTACCATAGCTGCAGCTTTTCGATCGAATTCAGGTTTGTTTGATGTGTATTCGTTTGCAATATCTTTAAGAAAAAAAAACGAATATTTACAATATTAAAAAGAAAAAGAAAAACAAAACATACCAGCATTGAGTGCATGATCAATTTTAGGATTATCAATAAGTTCAACAACAGCTTTGATAACATCAACTAATGGTGTTGTTGGTTTCCATGTTTCATTTGAATTAAGTAGATCAACGCATATTTTACCTTGGTCATCAACATTTGGATGATATATACTTGTAATAAAACGAACTTCAGGTGGTTTAAATGGAAATTCAGGCGGTAATTTAATTTCAACTTGATAAGCAGCCTGACTGTAAATACTTGATGTTGGTAAAATCCGGCCGAGAATAATATTTTGCGATGAATTACCGGCGCCTCCTCTTGCAGCTCCCGATGGATCGTCGATAGGAGATTTATCAAGAAGAAATCTGGCAGATGATGGATCAGGATTCGTAGATAATGCTTTAAGTTTGGTTATTTCAGTCAGTAGACGTCTGTTTCCACCAGATGACATTTTATTTATTTGAAATTAAACTTATAAATAATCTAAAATAAAAGTAATATAAAACTTTCTCTAAATTGATTCAAATTAGATATGATTATTTATCTCTATAGACACTAGAGAATTACAAAGAAACTAACGGACAGACATATGAATAAATAAAACAAGTAGAGAAGTCACCGATGAGAAAAAATAAGTTTATCTATTTATTTTTGCTTTCTTTCTCGTAATAGAGAAAAGCGTCTATTTACTATCAACCAATAAATACATAAACCACCCATTAATGAAGTCGCCACACTCTTCGTATTTTATTTATAGAATGTGGCGACGAGCCCTTATTAGAAATATATTCTCGATCAAATAATTATTTGGAAAGCTCAAACAAAAATGACTGCTCAAGAGAATATGCGTTCACAAACATTAGATAAATATAAAGAACTTAATGAACAATTACGTGAATTTCTTAAAAATATTCTTCTCTTCGAAAAATCTACTTCACTAAATGAACAATTAGATTCAACTATTAATGACAACGGTGGTATATCATTATTATCAGTAAAAAACGATTTACTTCTTCAATATATGATTAATCTTATTGGTGTTATGCATCGACGATCAACACCAAATCAATCATTGAATTCGCCATCGACACGTTCAATGATATTACGTCTTTGTGAAATTCGTACATTTATTGAAAAAATTCGTCCGATAGAACAAAAATTACAATATCAAATGGATAAATTATTGAAAAATAATCTTGATCAACAACTTAACTATCGTGCTAATGTAGAAAATTTCGATGAAGATATTAATGAAAATGACAATGATAATACAGATGAAAATCAAACGCAAGAAGATAAACAAAAACCAAAAGTTTATCGACCACCTAAACTTGTACCTGTTGAATATAATGACGATGTGAATGATAAAAATGAAAATGGAACAACTAATAAACGTCTTGAATATCTTAAACGACGAGCTTTTCATTCCGACATATTAGAAGATTATAAAAATAAATATTCTGATGCCCCAGAAGAAGTTTATAATAGTGAACGTAGTCGTTTATTACAACAGAATCGTGCATATAAAGAAAAAGTAGCGTACGAAGAAGACTACTTAAAACGCTTACCACAAACAAAACGTGAACGTTTACAATTACAACGATCAATGATGAACAATGATAATGATATTATGAGTCATTTAGATGATGCAAATGTATTGTTTGATGATAATCCAAAAGGTATAACGAAAAATAAAAAAGGCAAAATGTCAAGAAGAACTAAAAAACGTGTGGAAAAGAAGAAAACAAAGTCAGTTAAACGACTGAAATCAAGAAAATAATTGTTTTTCGTTTCGTTCTTTGTTGTTGGTTATATAATAAACATCATTGATAAGAAATTCTTATATTTTTCTTCCAGCTAATCGCTACAGAACTGAAGTTCATTGATGAACTAACATCTTCAAATTAGAATATTGCTACTTTTCAGTATCAATACTGGTTACACTAATCACATCATTGTCTTTGTTTTTTGATGAAATGGTTGTTTGACGAATAAAGCTTGTTTCTTTTCGTTTTTTTGAAAATCGATAATTACAAGCGGATATGCATATAGTGAGAAAAATTAAACCAATAAGAATAATGAATATAATAGCTGGATAACAATACCATGGACATACAAAAGATTTATTTGTCGCTGTTTCAGAAATAGGAGTATCGATACTTCGAATAGGTATTGAAAATACAGATTTAAATAGTGTCAAAAGAAATATTCTTTCGTTACCCAATCGATTTACTATTAACATGAATAATATACAGAATTTTGCGCCGAAGGATATAATTTATTATTATTAATATTTTAATGAATTGCTTTAAAAAAATACTCTTTAAAACACAAAGAAAAATCACAATGAAATCAATTCAGTCTCTTGGCAGAAAATTCTTCGTAAATAAATCTTTTGCAATTCGTTCATATTCCACTTTGTTAGTATCAAATAAACTAGCTGCCTCTAGAAAAAAAAAGCAGGCAAATGCATTGCACATGAGAACTAATTCAATAAAAAAGAAAATAGACCTGGATGCTTAACATGATCCATAGCAGGGTTATCGATAATTTTGATTATTTCTTCAATAATGGCAACAAAGGAAGTTTGTGGCTTCCATGCATCTTTATTACTCAACATATCAATGCAAACCTCACCTAGATACAAGAAAATATAATTTCAGAATAGAGTAATATTCATAGATCAAACATTATTCACCGTTTTTATCTATATTAGGATGATAAATAGGACTTCTGACGTAAACTTTTGGTGGTCCAAATGGATAATCAGGGCCTACTACCAGTTGGATCCGAATAGAACCTGTTTTGTAAAGATCTGAATTCGGCAATACTCGTCCAGTAATAACCCAGTCTCCCGTTGGTGGTGCATCATCTTCGTCATCTGGGAATGGTGTTGTCTCAAGAATAAATTTGAAGGGTGCACTACTTTTTGGTCCAATATTTTTGAGTTGACAAACATTGCTGTGAGCTCGTTTTACTCGTAAATTTGGATCGTCCTTGCTCATTTTCAAGTCTAAAGTAGTTGTACTCTATAATGCTTGCTTGTTATAACCAAAAGAGATTTTACAAAGAGAAAAAATGTGGTATACGTAGTGGCTCATGTTTTCTTTTTCGTCAAAAAGGAAGAAGAAGAACAGAAAAAACAAATTGCGCAGTTAAAAAATAGAAAGAGGTGGAATGTTTGCTTTTTGGCATAATTGCAACATTCTCATAAATTATATATTCTTTTATTCTAAAGAAAAACTAATCACTATTTGAGTAAAATGCATCTTTTTCTTGCAAACCTACACAACTAGAGAAAACAAGCAATGCTATCAATTTAAATTTACATTTTTCAATGTCAATAGTGTACCATTGCTTTCAAAAGCCTTCAAGTTCGTCGCTTGTGCGAGAGGAAAAACACAGAGAGCAGAAAAATATTTTTTAATGCATATTATAGATGTCAGTCTTCAACGATGTCAAAGATAAGGAGACATCAATGTATGTTACATTTCATGTCATCATGAGCTGGTTTTTCGAATAAAATGTACGCTGTGTAAGATTAGATTTTCCTGTGAAAGAGAATTTGCGTCATCGTTGATATCATGTACAATAATTAGGACATATGTTTCCTACTAGTGAGATCTGTATGAAATACTAAAGAATGTTATTTACTCTGTTGTTCAGAACTACTTTGATGAAAGCTAAATTTTCATAATATTAATTGAAGGAAGCTTTGTGCTCTAATTTTCATTGGACACCTTACGAAACTATTTATAGTGTTAGTATCTCATCTATAAAGATTTCATGAGTTAGCATGTTTTATTGTTAATGAATACAACTAAAATATGTCATCACAATGAAACTTTATTTCAAAATGAAGCGACAAGAATCTGATATTGGTTTTGAATGGCTATCTAAAATAGCTGTTTATGAAGTTATTTTGATATAAAACAAGCTTCTGCAGTGTATCACATAATAAAAAAAACCAAACAAATATTGAGTCCGTTGAAAAGAAAACACCAATGCGATCTTTATTTACGAGGTAAAGCATGTTTCTTGACATATTCCAGAGCTTTACGATTGAATTCAGGTCGATTTTCCTTGTATTCACGGCCGAGTTCTACAAGAGACAATAAAATATATTAAGTTAAGTTAAAAAAAAACCAACTGACCAACACTAAGTGCATAATCAATATTGGGGTCGTCGATATGTTTTACAACAGCTTTAACAACATCAGGCAGCGATATTTTATTGTTCCATTTTGCATGCTTTTGTAATAGTTCATTACAAAACTTTCCTAAAGAAAAAAAATTATCAAAACAAGTTTGATTCCCTTTTTTGCTCGTGGCTTTTCTTACCATCTTGTCCAACCAATGGATGATAAATTGGCGTAAGAAATCGTACTTCAGGAGGATCAAAAGGGAATGAGTTTAATATTTTCATTTCGATCATAAATGAGCCCTGATTATATATATCTGAATCGGGAAAAATTCGTCCCGTAACGACGACTTCTCTTTGGTTCGCTGAAGCAGATGATTCGCTTTCATCATCATCATCATCTTTAAACGGTGACTGTTCAAGTTGAAACTTAGGAACCGAATTAGTGTTTAGTAATTTTAATAGAACTATATTATTGTATAGTTCCTTATTTAGTTTTGGTCCGGACATTTGTTTTCTCTTCAATCTAAAACGATCGAATAACTCTATATTGATTTTAATCAAGAGAAAAAGGAAGTATTTAGGGATGCGCAAAACATTTTTTGATGCTATCAATAAACAAAATGAAAATTAGATGGCGTACTTTTCGAATTCAGACGTTTTCCATTTTTTTCTTACTATATTATAACATAGAAGAAAAAGAAAGACTTACAAGCCAGACACACTAAAGTGTGTAAATATAGGATATTATTATTATCGTTCTCGACTTAGACATTAAAATAACAACACAGATAATTGTAGATGTAAAAAGAAAACAACAAGGCTGGCTTTTGTATTAGAAATGCGATCGAGCTATTTGATGTTTTGGAGGAAAGAATCTTTCAATAGTATCGTTCTTTCGAGTAATTGTGATTTGTTTTTATATAGAATAGTATTTTCGGCGAAGTGCTCTCATAAAAAAAACATACCTAGTCGCAAATCAATGATAGTTGCGATGCATTTTTTTTCATCCTGTAGAAAAGAAAAATGACGATACCTACACAAAGCGTTTCGTCGCTTTATGCGTTTCTGTGTGCACTGGAATATTCCAATGTGCAAGCACCATTTTGTTTTAATGATTCGAGGCATCTCGATTGTAGATGACGCACTTTGTTTACTTGAATTTGTTTATTGGAAAAATATATGCCTCACTGACGTTTTAATCTCACCTTGTTTTTTTCCATGCAATTATATTTATAGATGTTATTATTATCCTCTATAAAATATTCTTCTTTTTGTAATTATATTAAAAAAAACTATTGTGACAGACACAGGGAGAGAGAGAGAGAGAATCATATTGAAATGTTTGTTGTCTTGAAAGTTATACATACAAAAGATAAGGCTAGATGCTGAGCAAACTCTTGAAGTTATTTATAAAATAGCAAAAGCAAACGTAAAGCAGCTTCGTATTTCAGAAGTATAAGAGTAAAAATAATTTCAATTTTAAATACAGTCTCCTTTCGAGAAAACTTCGGCTTTGAAAAATATGATACAGTTCATAGTTCAATATTCGCCTGAATGCTCACATTGAATTTCAAGGTCATTGGCGAGGTAATGAATGCTTTTTAATCATTTCTAATGCTTTTCGATTGAACTCAGCTCGATTCTCCATATATTCTTTTCCTATATCTATATACAAGATAGAATTAATCGAACGGATTCGAATACAAAACAATATTTTTACCATAAATAGCAGCGTAATCAGGATCAGGATTATCAACATGTTTGACGATAGTTTTAACGACTTCGACTAAAGTTGTTCCCGCCTTCCATCTCGAAGCATTGTTCAACAATTGATGACAAAATTTACCTAATTATATCAAAAAAGTTTGTTAAGAGTGTTTTTTCTTCTCCTAAACTTCTGTTCACTTACCATCGGCGGATATATTAGGATGATAGATAGGAGTTAGAAATCGAACTTCCGGTGCTTCATTAGGGTAGTTTGATGTTAATCTCATCTCTATTCTTAACGCACCCTCTTTAAAAATGTCGGATTCAGGTAAAATTCTTCCTCGGACAAAATATACGTCTTTTTCTATGGCAGTTTCTTCTTCTTGTTCATCATCAAATGGAGAATCTTCCAGTATAAACCGAACTGGTGCATCTGATTTGGTTAATAATTTCAGTCTAGTAATATTAGCCCAAAGTGCTTTGTTTAATTTTCTTCGGCCAGCAGCCATTCAGTCGACGAGTAGCACTGAAATTAAAAAACAAATAAGTCATTTAATACTTAATCGTTTAGTTCATTTATTTATGCAAAAAAAAGCACAAAATGGCATTCTTCAGTGATGAAACACATTCCTATACGATTTTGTAGTCAGATATTAACATTTAAATGATCTTTATGATGTGTGCGTATGACTACAGAAGTTTGTTTTTGACTGGCATTTAGTAATGAGCCGGTGGTAACTTCCAACTTAAATATTTTTTTCGATTGGTAATATTCCTCCGCGCCCCTCCCCCTCCTCTTCATGGGTTTTAAACAGGCAGTTACTCTCAATTTCTTCCAACTATTTGATAGTTCGATTTGAGTAATGAAGAAAGGAAAAATGTGTGAATTTTCCCATTAACACATTGATTTCCGTAGTAAGTTGGCAAACATTCATGTCTTGATTGAATCAGATCTTTTAGAAATTACCTTGTACAAGAAAATACTGTCACGTAAAAGATTAAGGGTACAAATTTTGTTCGAAACACAGAGGAAGAAGTTTTTTTTTGAAAGCCATCATACTATTTATGCTCTTATCAGGCTTATCTTTTGCAAATATAATGTTACATGAGTTTTTCTTTTTCGTCTTTACAACGTACTTACTTTCACGAGTATGTCATACGACAGAGAACGATTAGAGTTTGTTGTCGATTATGAGAAAGTGTCGCACTATTTCTGACAATATTTTCCTAGTTGGATCATTTGAATAAAATATTTCCTTTTAAAGATTCACTGAACTAATTAAATTAAGAAAATTTCGTAGTTTTATTTTTAACCTTTAAAGGCCCTGTTTTAATTGATTTCAACGCGCATCACTGCTTACTTGTCAGTGTTCTTTTTCAAATTCGATTACTTTTTTCACGAAAAAATATGATTTTTCGTTGATAATGCTATGCAAAAAGGAGTGAGTAAATGAGTAGTAGTCATTGCGGCAGTCATTTTATCGTCAAAATAATACAAAACTCAAAAATATCTACGTATGCACTAAAACAACGAAGAAAAAAGATTGCTTTATTTATTTTTTGATGGGCATTGAACGTATCTTGAGAGTGTGTGAATATCGATAGTGCCTTCTGCTTCGAGTAAATTCAACAAGTAGAGGAAAGTTACTGATCCGTACACTTGTTTTACAAAGATTTTTGTCTTGAGGACTATTTTAGTTCTAGACTCAATGAGTACTTCCTATCTTCAACTGAAAATGTTCGCTTTTTGTTGGATTCTCTTCACGATTGAAAAAGTCGAAAAGTTATCAAGTATATTATTCTGACAACAGTTTTCTTTTTGAGTCATATTGATTGGCTTCACTCTTGGCCGTATCCCACAAATTACTAGTATATCTAATCTACTTTCAGTTGCTTGTGTTCAGTTTCGTATCCGTATTTTATTTTTCGACGAAACAGGAATCTACCCAATTCATCAAAGGTTGTCATGTGATGATGAAACAGGCAACTTCCTTCTGTAAAGTGATCAGAAAGATCATAAAACGTCATACGTGATTTTATCCACGACTTCACACGTAAATTTTTCTTTTCAAATATTTCTCTTGCATGAATATCAATCTATTGCGTACTTACATATTCTGCTGAATATTTCTCTCATATGAATCGGTTGATTACTTAATTTGTATGAATAGAAATAAATCGTAGGGAGGTTTCTGTTACGATTATTATTCATACGATTTACCTATTGACGAGAAGCCTATGTGAGCTAATCAACTGCGATTGATATCTGGAAAATATTGCTAGTTCTGAGGCTGAAGATGAAAGAAAAATGCAAAATAAATCGAGGGATCTATGTAATAGTTTTAGTTTTGGTAATTCTAAAAGATAAGCACTATTTTAAAATATGTGCTTAAATTTATTGCTACCCAGTCAGACAAGCGTTGAAAAAAACGGTGTTTTTTCGCGTAAAAAGCGCACACTTTAACGTTTCATGAAATTTATGAGTGTTTTTTCGGAAAATAAACGAACCTTGCGACTGACAACATTGAGAAACTCATTTGATTCGAAGCAAAAAACGTGCTTTAACAGATCAAAATGTGCGCTTTTTAGGCGTAAAAACACCGTTTTATTCAACGCTTCTCTGACTGGGTAATGATACTCAAAATTTCGAGAGCCCTAGAAATAAAAACTGATAAACAGATCAGTATCTTATAGAATACATTCGTGTGCAAAATAAATTAGCTTAATTCATATTTTGCGCGCTCATCATTTTACTATAAGATCATCTTAGTTAGTTCTATTCACTTCTCTATTAAGTCATATTGTACATGTCGTCTATGTTATTATCTGTTTCAATGATTGTTCATCTCTCTCTTGTATTCATTAGTTTTATTGCGTTCTCAAATTCACAAGCCAACACAATTAATAAAGCATGTTCTACAGGTGGCTCTACGTGTGGAGCAGGACAAGCATGTATCAATGATCTTTGCGAATGTGATCCGACTCATAGACGTTTTTGGACCGGTGAAAAACATCAGTGTCGTGTTTGTCCACCTGAATATATTCGTGCACGTAAATTGAGAATAAGTTTTCTTGTTGTCGATGTTCTTGTTTCCTTTCAGCAACTCGATGTTACAAATATTTTAAAGAATATAAAAATCAAAGTGAAGCCCGCGCTATTTGCCGTAAAGACCAAGCGGATTTATTTACCTGGCGAGATAATACCGATGAAAATGAATTATTGAAAGCATCAGCTGCTGAATGGAATTATAATTATGAAAATGTTCAAAATCAATTTTATTCTTGGAGTGGTGGCATGGCTCATCATGGTCAAGGTTAATCATTGAGGTTCTTTTCGTTTTCGTTTCCTTTCCCATCGATTTGTACGTTAGGTGAAAGACTAGAATATGAAATAACTTGGTTCGACCCAAAAGGACCTACTATTCCTCATCCTGATACAGGTGATCAGCTCACTGATCGATATTGTAATGCAATGACAAAAACAAACTATCACGGAGATCCTGAACCTACTCGACAAACTAGAAATGGCGAAAGAGAAGATTGTGTCACCATTGTTTTTCTTCCTCAACCAAAATCGCGCGGATTAATTTGTATGGCCGATGACTTTTGTTCATCAATAATGGGATTTATATGTGAATTAAGTAGGTATTGATTTTTTCAATTGATTATTGAGGAAATGTGTTTGTTTTTATGATAGCTGAAGCAACATTATCAGGTGTTTATCAAACACGTAAGTGTTGGCATTGACTATGAAAGTCACAGCGGTTTATTTGTTAAGAGATACCTTAAGACAAAACAAAATATGATTTCTTTTAGCTCCAACACCAGATAGAATAGTAGATGATATTTTAATCGAAACTTCGGGTGAAAATGAAATAATCGATGAACATTCTGAGCAAACTGAAATTCTTTCACCTATTGAAGAAAAACAAAAATCTAATCTATTAATATATGTAATTGTTGGTATTGTGCTTCTTGTAATTATTGGCGTTGTTACGTTTGTTGTCCTTCGATACCGAAAGAAATATAATCCAACAATGAATGTTTCCCCGACAAATAGTATAACTACTTCTATTATGTCAAGTGGTGATCTACATGAAAATGCTTGAAGTTTATTATAATTTAAGATTAAAGAATTTCTTTATATTTAATTTATTTTACTTTGTTGTAGTTAAGTTTAAAATTTATCTCTAATTTGTTTGAAAAAATGATCATAAAATATGAAAACAAAACCATTTTCAAGTAATCAAATTTAAAGATAGAAGGACATCGCGCCCTTATTTTCGTCATTCATCGTTTCTTCATATGACGGACGCAAATCGGATTGATGTAGGTTCTCTTACTCGATTAGTTGTACAAGTTATTATTTTTCTCTTCTCGTCAAGCACGAGTCAATGGCAAGATTTCATGTGTAGAAGACGAGAAGAAAAACTTTAGAGGCCGAAAAGTATTCTATGCATCAATGATCAATCCTATAAACAAAACGTAAGGGAGATTGGCTATCCTCGTATTATTTTTAGTGCTGTTGCAATCATTTGGATTGATTGCTAGTGTATTCAACCCCCGTTTTGTTTTTCGAATCTATTCCTCGTGGCAATTACACAACCGTAATATAGAATACTCTAGTTTTCACAATGATACGTGTCAATGCTAAAAGAAATAGAGATTTCAAAGCTCGATAAATTCAAAACGAAATTTGGTCCATTCAGTAGAAAAGAATCCGATGCATGACGTGGAATCACGTGGCTTTTTTGTGACGGCTTGACTTATTTCATTGATAAAAGTGTGCGTACTCGTTGTACAGGTAGAATCTATTTGATTGCTCTCTTGAAATCAGCCGGTTTTTATGTCATGCTGATTAATTCGCAAACCGAATCTGAATTGATTTTCGATCAAATAGAGCCTTGTAGAAGAATCAAAATTATATATAAAACAAAATATTCGAGAAATTTTTAGGAAATTGCATATTTGACATAAAGATTGAGTTGACTGTCACTGTGTAGATAATGTTACGATATAGAATGAAGAGAACGAAAATTCGAAAGTAACCAATTGACAGCAAAGTTGAAAAATAGTCAATATATATATATAGACCGATCGATGATCTCATCATTGGCAATGAATCGATTAGCATTCTATTATTATTATTATAGAAGTTGCTGTCGTCATTTGTAATAGCACCTGATATCCGACAATCACACATAGAGCTGAACAGTGTCGTTCCGTTCGAATGAGGTATGTAATGTTGCATGTTGCATAAAAAAGACATTTGTGGAATGATGATGAATTCTATAGTGCATTTGCCATTTTTGTTTGAGTGACTCAAATTCTGATATTGTGTTTGTTATACAAAATATTCAATATCGGAAATAGTCGATGAATGTTCACGCCAGAAATACGTTTTGTTTTGTTCTTCGCAACTTCTATCTTGTTGTGTATTGAATTGGCTCTTGTCGGTGATAGTAAATCGAGTGCTGGTTTCTTTTCAAGGAACAGTATTAACTTTGATGCGAACGAAAATGTGAACATCATATCAAATGCAGGTGCTGCGAGGGGAGTTCGTAGAAATACCATGGATCGAATAAAAGCTTACACGAACGTGCACAAGATGCATAGTGTTGTTTCTTTTGATGGCTCACATATGATTCTTTTTGCTTTTCTGTTATGGAATATCGGTGTTGGTCATTGAGGGATTTTATCACGAACCCTTTCTTTATATTTGCTTTGTTTACATGTATAGTTTTGGTTATTTGCATGCTGGTTGTTTTTTTCACCGCGTCAAAAGCATCAGGTATGGAGTAGCGCATAGCTAGAAAAAATTCCTCCTGACTTGTCCTTCATTAGAGTCATATGACTGATGAATCTCTATGAGAGAGTGATAATTCTATTAATTGATGTACCTATGTTACTTAGACACAATTTTTGAGCTCAATTCCAATAAAATAACTACAAATCCAATTGACTATAACATTGGTCCACGATCTGTCACCGTGGGCGACTTTAATAATGATACGTGACTAGATATTGCTATTGCCAATTACGCTGCTGATACTATAACTATAGTTTTTGGAAATAGCAATAGCACAGTGCCCATTCCAATAGTTTATTCAACTGGATCTGGGTCTGGCCCATAAATGGTGGCTGTTAGCGATTTCAACAAAAGATGAACGGTTAGATTTCGCAGTAGCATGTTTCGACACAAACAGTGTCAGTATACTTTTTGGACATGGATAAGGAGTTTTTGCAAGTCCAATAGTTTTTTCAACTGGATCATCTCGTCCAGTTCGGATCAACGTAGTTGATCTTAACAACGGCACAATATTTGATATAACGACTGTAGATTATGGTACAGACAGTTTAAACTTATTTTATGGATATGTTAATGGAAGTTTTTCATTAGCCGGTACGTACTCGACTGGTTATGATTCACATCCATATTCTATTGATATTGATGATCTCAACAACGGCGTAATCTTAGATATTCCCATTACCAACCATGGAGATTACAGTGTCAGTGTACTACGGGGTTACGCAACGGAACTTTCAAAACTCTTCAAATATATTTGATCAATAATGCTTCTCCATATTGTGCTTTGATTGTTGATCTCGCTAAAGACAATCGAAAGGATTTAATTATTACCAGTGCAGGCATTAACAATATCGTTTTACTTCTCGGATATGAAAATGGGAACTTTACATACTGCAAAAATTACTCGACGGGAGATTTTTTGACAGTTTCATTAGTGATTGGTGATTTCAATAAAGACGCTCGTTTAGACCTTACTGTGATTAATAATGATACGCGTAGTGCAGGTGTATTATTTAGCTATGATGAACCCTCTTTCGAAAACAAAATGACATATTCTACGGACTCATCGTCATTTTCTCTAGCTGTTAGTGATTTTAATAACGATAGACGACTAGATATAATCGTCGCGAATTACTTAATTACTTGAGTGCTACTGTGAGTATACTTCTGGGATATGGCAACAGCTCTTTTCCCAATCAAACAACGTATTCAACTGACAGATGGCCACGTCCTGTACCTATTGGTGACTTTAACAACGATAGACGACAGGATATACTCGTTGCTACTGAGCGTGACGGTACCGTAAGTGTATTTCTCGGATATGGCAACAGGTCTTTTGAAAATCAAACAACATATTCAATTGGACTTTGGCCAGGCTCTGTAGCTATTGGCGATTTCAACAACGACACTCGACAGGACATCGCCGTCACTAATGCTTATGGCAAAACTTTAAGTGTAATTCTCGGATATGGCAATGGCACCTTTTCAGATAAAACAACATATTTAATAGACACTGGGCTCACGTTTATAAATGTAGGTGATTTTAACAATGATACTATACTCGATATCATTGTCGCTAATCATGGTAGTGATAGTGTTGGTATATTTATTGAATGTGGGAATGGTTCTTTTTTAAGTTGAAAAACTTTCACGACTGATTTTGTATCTCAACCATACTCAGTTGGGGTTGGAGCTTTGAATGGTGATCTTTTACTAGATATCATCATGGCCAATTATGGAACGAATGATATAGATATATTGATTGGAGATGGTAATGGCTCATTCACACCTGCAGCAGATATGACCAGGTGAGTATGCATCTCGTCCGTTTTCTGTATCGGTCGGTGATTGTAACAATGGCGGGAAGCTAGATGCTGCGGTTGCTTACTCGGGTTTTGATAATTTAAAAGTTTTCTTCCAAACCTGTTGGTAGTACAACTTTTCGAAGTTGAATTTTCTTTGTAATTACTGTTACTAAATTGTAACTTATATTACTGATATCTGACTTGTATACTTTCCGATACTTCATCAGTTTTTTTCACAAAAAGAAAATGTTTTTATTGGAAAAGCTTCACATCAGTTTGTATCGATTCTCTTGTCTTTCATAATCGTATATAGATATTTAAATCACTCAAAGTTTTCTCTAATGAAATAATATATTTTCACATGGTGAAATACATAAGATAAAATAAACAAATAAGTTCTTTCAACCATATTTTGTATGTGTTTTTGCGCGCATTTGTTTATATCATCGTTCTAATCTATGTTTATATTAGTCATATTCATTTATACGAGTTACATCACGTTAGCTGTTATCGGATTAATTGTAGACAAAAACCAGAAAAATATTAGTGATAATGCTAAATGTGGAATATCATCACAAATTAATATAAATTCTAGTCTAGGAAGTTCAAAGGCAATTTTTCATGCATGGCCATGGGTAGCGGTAAATTCGATAAATTAATCCCATTGCAATACTCTATAATTTTTAAAACTATCCATAGAGCCTTCGGCAAAAAATGTCTGGTACTGAAGCAGTACATTTCTGGTATCAGTTTTATCTTTTATCGTGTTGATGAAAATCTATTGTTTTTGTTTTAGCGGCGGTTCAATTATTGCTCCTCGACTTGTATTAACAGCTGCACATTGTTTTCATAATGTAACTATTCCAACAGATCCAAATTATGCTCGACGTTTTGGTGAAGTTCATCTTGGTCAACTTGGTTTAACCGAACGAGGTCAACGAATAGCTGAATGGATTAAAGTAATTATTCCTGAAAAATATCGTCCATTTCGACCACATGACTATTCGTAAGTTCTGACATGATGTATAATAGTATTTATTAGATGATTGCATCATTTACTCTTTAGCTATGATATTGCATTATTGATTCTCAATAAGGATATTATTGATAGACAAGATTCTATTATATGTTTACCGTCACATGATACTATTAGTCATGTTGGTGATTATGGAAGTAACTATTTGATAGATGAATAGACTAGACTTGATAGAATAATATTTTAGCTATTGTTGGATGGGGAATTAATGATGAAACTGCCAATGAAATATCGAACTATATGATGCAAGTCACAGTGCCTATTCTTGATTCAACAATAGACGCATGTAATCCGTCGATGTTACCCCCGAAAAATTCTACTATGACAATATGTGCTGGCATTTTATCGGGTGGTATTGATGCTTGTCAAGTATAAAAAAAATAGTCAGCTTTATAATTTAACTATGAACATGAATTTCTATGCAGGGTAATTCAGGTGGACCGCTTGCACAAAAATTTAAAAATCGTTGGTATAATATTGGGTTAGTATTTTAGTTTTTAGAAAGATGGATAAAAAATACAATGTGTGGTAGATTTTTAAGAACTCGGAGTTTTAGTTTCAATTTTTGTCTCTCAATAATACAGTCTATAATTGATCATGACGACAATCAATGTTAAATTATGCAATAAGAAAAGTCATAGGTGCATTGTTTGCGTAAGAAAAATACGAGTGTTATTATTGTAAAAGAAGTTCAATCAAATATGCCTCGAGTAGAGAATGAAATAAATGAGGAAACATCGGATTCGCATCCGATTGTTGTGTACTGCAAAAACTGAGTCGATTTATATATGTTGTGAATAGTACTGAGAAAAAAAACCTTTTTTGAAAAATCCCTGTAGCCCCCTCAGGGATGATCTGGTCAACACTGACAATTTTTTCGATAACTTAGCCACCTCTTGATGAATCTTTCTCATCTTCGAACTCGACCGAAATATTGATGAGATAATGCTGCGTACAAATTTTCATGACAATCTGATCAACCTTTCAGGGGTTATCGTGTAAACGGCTGGCCGGACACACTGACAGATTCTATAGTGTACACACTTTTTTTTGAGTACACAAAAAACATGTTCTGTTCCAATCTTGAGAAAAATTTCAATTTTATTCACCAATGTCCGAATGAATAACACTCGAAACCCTCGACTCTAGTATATCCTGATGTTAATAATAATAGAATATTATCAACAACTCAAAATGATTTAAATACACACTTCGACGTCAAATGCCTAGAAACATAGACTAAACACTTCAGTTTGTACTATTATTTTATTATTTAACCTTTGAGACACATCAAAATCTTATTAATTCAATTTTACTTCGGGGGATAGATATTGCCCGAACTTAGAATAACATTTGTTTAAAATAGAAATAGATTCTTCTAAATCTATCTCTTGACAAAATAAAATTCAATTCAAGGACTCGATCTTTCAACAAACAAAATAACATTTCATAGGCGACACTTTAGGTTTTCGCAGCGACCTTGAATTTATTGAAGTTTTTTCGTTTGTATTAATTCGTTATGGCATATGCTTACATTATCCGTGTAAAAAAACAAGAAATAAACTTTCATCACTATGATAAAGATCGATTCATGTAATGCTATGCTATTATATTATTTCTCTTTTGATGTTCTACTTGCCTTGGCACATTTAACATGAAATATAGCGCAAGGATCATAATGAATTCATGCAAAATTGTATTTATATATGTATGCATGTGTGTGAAACGATTATTCACGCAACATACATTTCTGTCCTAATAAACAGACATTTTATAAATCAATGAAACGAATGTTTGCCTAAATGACTGTCTGAGAAAAAGAAATAAACAGTACTAAACGCATCTCTGACAAACTAACTTAGCACATAATGACCGCGTTCATTAAAATAAATACAATCATTAGAAGATATATCTTTCGTTTAGTATTGTTTCTCATGGTATCGGATGTGCAAGAACTAATAGTCCTGGCTTTTATACACGCATAAGTGCTCATATTAATTGGTTATGCAAACAAGTCGAAAGCGAAGGAGAAGTTTTGCCTGTTTGTTTTGATATTATACCAAATTCTACAACATATAAAATTCAATCATCTTGATTGGTATTCTGATCGTTTTGGGCCTTGTTTAATTTTCAATGAGTACAACAACAAAAAATAATAATAAGCAAATAGTGTATTATGTTAATTCGCACACACACACACACATAGACGAAAAAACTAATCCATATACAAAAAAAGAACAGCATGACCCTATGAATTCCAATTGTGTGTGTGTCTGATTTATTAGCAGAGTAATAGAAATAGATGACAAAAAACAAAGTGAAGCGGCTGAACCTAAAAACATACATAAAAACAGGAAGCCCCGATCTTGTGTTCAACGGCAAATGGAAAATGATGACGATGACAACAACAGACAATTGTTTTCACAGATATATAAAGAAGTTTTATGAAAAAAAAGAAAACCATCGAGTAATGCAAATTGTAAATCGTCATTGAGTAAAAAAAGACAAAATATCTAGATACTGTAAACAAACACACACACACACACACACACACACACAGTTTTCTAGGTCTAGAAAGATCAAACGACAATTGAAAAAAAATTCATTTCTAATTAAATAGTAGGAACCAAGACAAATGGAAAAAAAATGTATTGTTGGTATATTTATCATAGTCAATCTCCTATCTAACTTTATTGGAATTTCTGGCTGAATAAAGCCTTTTCTTCTCCATTTGAATCATACAGACGTGTAATCATGATTGTGCCGATACCCCAGGTTTGAATACCGTCAGCTACTAATACATCTCTATCAGCTGCAGTTTTACTTGCTATACGAGCTAATATGCGCACACGTGATCGTGATCTAAGTACAAAGTTATCCGGAAATCTATAAACAATCTCGTTATTGGCATCAACTTTTCGTCGTAACGTCCAACCCTTCAGTTCTTGGTCTTTGCCTGTTGAACCAGCATTCTCGACGACAATAAAAGTACCTTGTGGATCTACCTGATCAATGGCAACAGGGCCTAAATAAAATAAATATGTTTTAGTACTAAGTTCTTCCATATAGCCGTCTTTCTTGTTGTTGTTGTTGTTGTTGTTTTGGTTTCTTATGTCAATAAATAGAAAAATTCTATATTGTACCTGAAGAATCCAAACAACAACATTAGAAGAATGAAAGTTACATATGTACACTAATATTATTCTATGTTGATATGAAATTGAAAAAATACAATAAAATCCATATCACAATACCTATCCTACATATGAAAGGATTCATCGATTTCTTCTTCTTAATGATATTTACCAAATTTTTATAAGCAATCTACTGAATTTTGATTGATAGATAGGTGATTAATTTTTCTTTGTTTCATATCGATATGTAAAAATAAGAATTTTTAATTATCGAATGCGAAAAAAAAAGAAGAGATTTGAAATTATGATACATATTTTAGATTCAAGCATTCTCTGTAATTACAACTGTCCATCTGCGACTAATCGTATATAATGAGATAGATCAATGTTGCTGCTAAGAAAAGAAAGAAAAGGGGGGCAATTGGCCGATGGGAGTGATGAAAAAGAACAAACAAAACATGTCTCATCATCATCATCATCATCATCATCATCGTTGTTATTATTATTACTGAACTAAAGCGTAGACAGCTACGGAAAAAAACATAGACAGATGATCAAACGAATAACAGTTGTCGGGCACTGTTTAATATCTTGTAGGACGCAAATACAAGCAATATGTTGCTGATGCTGTTTCTAATTATTATTCGAAATACGTTCGGAAGTATCGATAGATAATTCTTATTCTATAAATCAAAAATTAGAGACTAACCTCGTGCTGATTTTTGTACGGTCATTTTTTTGGTTGTTACTTCAGGAGTAACAGTGACAACGTTAACATTAATACGACCTTCTTCAACTTCGAGTAATCGTCTATAAGTATTAATTTCAAATCTAAGCGAAACATTGTTTTCAAGTACGGCAGCAATGGCTTGTTCACGTTGTTCAGCTTGAGCACGTAATTCAGCTAGTGCTCGTTCACGTTCACCTTGTGCTCGGCTGTGTTCGCTGGAAATTCGTTCATAATCTTCTTCTAATTGTCGAAGAAGATTCGATAAATCTGAATGATCTTTTTGTAATAAAAGATAAGAATCACGATTTTCCGATAATAAACTTTTCAATGATGTTAAATCCATAACATCCACAGCACCTGTACGACGAGCTTCTTCAATTTTACGTTTTTGTTCAGCTGCCTGTTGGCGAATTTCTTCGGTTTTAATTTTATAATATTCTAAACAAGAAATAAATTAGATTTAGAAATTAAAAAAGAAAAGGAAGAAAAACCAAAAAAAATTATACCTTCTAATTCCTTTCGTTGAGCTATTGAAAGTGCTTCGAAATCACTCTTGATATCAGCAATAGCACGTGTTAATTCAGTTCGATAGAATTGACTAACATCAATAGGTAAGGTACCAAGTGATAATAATTCATTACGTTCTTCTTCATGAACAGCTCTCATAAAAGCTAATTGTTCTTCTAAAGTTTGCAATTCGTTTTGTATCATAACACGTCCCATGGATTCTTGATCGAACTCATTTTTTAAAGCTTCTAATTGTCCCAAAAGTCGACCAACTTCAGTTCTACTACGATCGATCTCTTGCTTTTTATCTTCATGACGACTTCGTAGCGAATCTAATTCTGAACCACTGCCTTCAAGTTGTTGCTTAAGCATAGTGAAACGATTACGATCCAAAGTAACCAATTCATGAGCAAAATCAGTTTGATGTTTTATTAATGACGCATCATATTCCGCACGTTTAGCACGTAGTTCAGCTAACGCCTTTTCACGTGTAACTTCATCGATTTGTTTTCTTAATGAAACTAATTCTTGATCATATTGAACTTTAACTTTGCCAGAATCGAAACCTAGAAATTTTCATAGACACAGATTAGTTTGTTAGTTTGTTTTAAAATTTTACCCCATTTTGTTTTAAGCTCATTAAGCGTTCCTTGTAATTTATGATTTTGCGCTTCAAGAATTTTGACCCGCTCAAGATAGGCTCCGAATTTAGTGTTAAGATGTTGCATTTCATCTTTTTCAGCTTGATGTTGAAGAGTTAAATTACGCAATGCATCTGTACCAGCACGACCACCAACTGCACTATCAGCAGCACTTCGATAACCACGTTCGACTACTGTTCGACGAACAACTGTTTGAGGAAGATTTTCCGTAGACATAATTTCGACTCTGTTTAAAATTTATATTCAATGATCAAAAGAAGAGAATAACTGTAGAAAAGGCTAAAACAATAAAAGAAAATGTCGATAGAAAATAAATGATTGTATATGGTTGTTTAAAACAGGTCAACTCAAGGTTCTTTAATTATACTTTATCTTATTCATTTTCTATTTTTTGCTTCACTCGACATAAATCTTACTGATACACTTCACTGAACTTGTGATGTACACAACCATGTCTGTCTCGTGATCTTTATTCTCAGTATGTAGATTTGATCGACATGATAAACCAGCAAAATTGGGAGTTTTCGTAGACATGTATTCGTCTGTCCTTTTCGATTGTATATAAAGCTGTATTTAAATCATAAAAAAAAAAGAAAAGTAGAGAGAGAGCAAACCACAAATAATCAGCCGACGCCTCTTTCCTTCCTTCTCTTGTTTGGGTCGTCATCAATCTAACTGTATTCTTCTCTTCAACATTCCTTTCTCTTCACTGCTTATTCTCTTTTTTTCGTTGATATGGCGATCGCCACAACGAGTGAAGAGCACACACACACACATACACAAAAAGTACGAGGCAGAGAAGATGATGAAATAGGACAACATGGAAGAACAAGAGAAAAAAGCGGGTTGAAGTTATGCGCACTAGGTATTTGAGATGCTGAGCAATTAGAATTAATTCGTTTCTATCAGTACAAAAATGCAAATAATAAATAGCACGTAAATGTTTTATGCTGTTGTTGTTGTTGTTATTCTAGCAATAGCATGTATTTAAAAGGCTCTCATTTTCGTAGCTATGTGGTTTTCATTATTTGCATATTTACTTATTTACATATTTGCATACATAACTCGCTTACCGTTATTGTGCCTTCTTGATGAATCAAAAAAAGCTCAAGTGAAGGTGACAACAAAAATACTACTACACATTTTTTTTTGTTCTTTAACGTAAAGATAATAAAAAGAGTAAAAAAGAAACAAGAACTTTCCATTGTGAAAGGGAGTTTGTATATATATATACATTTATTTACACACCACGTACGATATGGAGACATATAGTAGTTGATAACCCCTCCGTTTCTACGGCGGTGTGGTTGGCAATCATTCATAAACGTCGTCTAAATAACATCATATTTACTTTTGAGTTTATTTCAAAATTCTCCGAGTTTCTATTGTATTAAATACGTACGGTTCATTTTGCAGTTCGGTGATATAATGGTATCAATAGAATTCAATACGATTCACCATATGTATTTAGTATAATAATGCCTTAAGCGCGTCTACTACTAACACTTGAGATTATCTACGAATATGATTCGATTAATGGGAATAATCAATTAGAATGTTTACAAAGACGAGTATATAAAATAGAACTTTATGGATTTATATGTATACTAAGATGGATTGAAAATAAGCCAAATGAAAGAGTGTGATAAATAAAATCGAAGAGAAAATATGTTATTTACAACTAAGAAGAGCAAAAAAATCTTCGTTCTAAAGACTACAAGCAAATATAGTAGTAAAAGAAAGATACAATTTTTTTATGATCAAGAAAGAAAAGTTTAGATGTTAATTATAACTGCCAGTGAAATTCTGAAATGAGGAAAACAACCACAAACAGATTCTATACTCTTTTTTAGCAAACATTTCGTTGGCTTTGCGAAATCCTATTTTCTATTCGCGAATACGTGTTACTATTTTTATGCAAGGTAACACGAATACATAATCGTTTGACGAATGTTCTTTTTAGATATTGTCATTTTTTTCTCTTCATATAGTTAAGATTATTCTCATAGAGTAATAAAGAAAAAATGGAGAGATAGCCGTGATAGTAAAATGCAAAAGAAAAAGTAAGAAAAGAAAACAAAGATACGTGAGGAACCAATTTTAATGGTTTCGACAAAAAAATTCATCATGTCTAGGAACATAAAATGACAGCAAGATAACATTAATGGATTTTTCTTTGCGAAAAATCATCGTCCTTCAATATATAGCTAATATCGTATAAAAAAGACTTGAAGAACTGAAGAAGTCTTTACTACTTTTCATGCACTTTAACATATATTGACATATGCGTCTTGTGTGCCGATCTTAACTAACCAACTGATGGGTGACCCTCAAGACATTGATTGTTACTAGTTGTGTCTGCTGCTTTTCTCTCTTTCTCTTCTCTCTCTCTCTTGCTCTCCTTCCCTTTCTCTCTCCCTTATATTGTGCTGCTAAGCAGCTCAACTACGCAAGGGGTCTTCTCTGTTTCGCTTTCTTCCCACTTGAAAATAAGAGCATACCCACAGGTGAATTCAACGACTGTGTGATGAAGCAATATGTTTATCTATGTGTTACACCACTTCGCTTGTATTCAGTCGCAAAAGGTTGTTGTTCTAGTTCAGGTAACATATGCAGGCATTTGTTTTTTCTGCCTGATCAATCATATACAAAGTTTCTTCCGTTCGATTGAATTCAAGTGCTTGCGGCCAAGTCAAACTCGACTGATGTATGTGAAATCGAGGACACTTACAATGAAACAATGCGAGAAAAAAAGCAGAATGGAACAAAAAAAATTCTTTGTGGTAGAAATCATCATCACCATCATAATTTGGAACGTGTCTGATCTGTCTCATTTTCCTTTTGATAATATAAGTGGCCACCCTTATACTTATTACTGGGAATAAGTTTGCGTGCCCTTTTCATTATGACTTTACATATATATATATATATATAAATATACGTGAGCAATCATCATTCATCAATGTTATTCTATTTCAGTCTTATATTCTATGTGGTAGCGTCATCAATCACCTTTCTTTTTGTCTTATTTCAAGCGGATGTATGAATAGAAAAAGCGTACTTAGAAACGTAAGAATTTTAAATGGCCTGAAAAAGATAAAAGCATTTATGCTTTGCATCAATTGATAGAAGAAGAAAAAAAACGAGCAAAAAATATGTTGTACAGTTGTAGAGGAACAGATGTTTTGAAAAAGTGAGAAAAATGATTGGCTCAAAAGTTATCAAGCTATTATTCACGAAGTGAATAGATGTTTTTGATTGCTTTAATAAGTCAAGAGAGATAGAGAAAAAGGAAGACATTAAACCGAATCTATGCGTCTAGCAATAGAACTAATATTATTTTATGGCAGGTAAAGCTACCATCATAAACCAATACATATATATTTACATGTATGTTGCGATGATCTCATCTAGACACTTAAAGTAATTTGAGATTTGTTTTAACTTTTACTGCTCAATTGACCGAAGCTCATGATTAATGTAAGGATGCCAGACAAGAACAGGCATGCATAGATAAATGAAATGTAATAGAAAAAAAGAAACATAAATCGAATGAGATAGGACGAGTTCGAAAAACAAACATCGTTCACTCATACAACAGTATATCTGATAGAAAGTATGAAATGTCTATTTTTTTATTCTCTTTCAGAATTTGTACAAAAAAAGAACTAAAACATTTTCGTACTTACATGTCTTTCAAACTTCAAGAAGAAAATGCTAGCCTATTTGAATATAAGCCAGTAGAGTGTTTCTTCTTGTTGTGTTGTTGCTGCAAAAAATTAAAAGCTACACCGAAGAGATTTATTTCTATTGGCTGATTTTGCTGTTTTTGCTTTCAGCCGTAACCGCACAAACCAAAGTAAATATAAAAAAATAATCGATTAATTTCTTTTTCTCGAAGGAAAAACCACGTTTGGCAAGAAAGCTAAAAATTATGAAAACAAAAGACAATTTCAGATTTTTCACTCTACTTTTCGCTAGTCAGTTCTCTCTTCAGCTGACCAGCTAGATGCAATAGATGCGTTATCTGAAATTTAAGAAGAGTACAATTAGACGTATGGTTAAAATACAACAAGGAGTTGGTCGGTCTTATGCAATAAACGATCTCCTTGTAACGAAGAATAGTAATAGTGGTAGTGGCAGCAGCATTTTCGAGGGCATAAAGAAAAAATTCGCTTGCAACAGCCGCACTTCTTTTATCGCTTATTTTAATATATATATATGTTGTAGGCAAAATTGGAATTAATTACAATTTTGCCTACAACATATATATATATATGAATGGATGTATATAGGTTGTTATTGTTTCTTTTATTTGTGCAAGTCATTCTTAGATATTATGAACAGAAAAAAAAGAACAATGAATGACTAATATGCACTATACACTTGCTCGAAAGAAAAACAATATTTGTCTATGTGTAACAATAATAGATGATCGACAATTTGAAATGTGAGATAACTAGGATTCAAGTGGACGCATTGATAGCAATACGTCGCTTTTTTGTATGCAAAAAAGAACGAAAACTACGCAACGTCATAAAGCCTTTCAACGTGCAGATAATAAAATTTATGCTGAAAAATAAATTTGCATTGTACACATAAAATCTTATCAGATTCTTCTTTGACAAGTTATATTACATTTTTACAAACAGATGCGAATAATTTTTTGAGTTGCTGGCAAATAGAGAAAAAAAGAATTTGTGAAACATTCAAAACAAATAAAAAAGCTAAAGGTAAATACTAAGAGAAAACTTAAAGACGTTGTAATACTTTTACTTTGCCCTGTGCAAAACAAATAGTGACAAAATGGTGACCTTGTTAATCATCATATCTTCACATACCTCACATAACTTTTTGCTACGCACGCTGAAGCACTCTAATCTTAGAGTGGGCGTCTACTAGAAAAAGAAAA